ATTTTTTACAGTTATTGAGACCTATAGCTCTTGTTTATTTGGAGTCTAAGAAGGATATCTCTGTTCCTTTCCTAAAATGGGAATAAGCTTTTCATGTCCCCTTGCTGAATTGGATGGTCCTTTTGACACTGTTCTTGTGAGATCAGTTAGTTTTGGGAGTGAAGACGCGGGGAATACATTACAATCTGTTGGTTTTAATGGCTGTGACTCAGACCCTGATTCAATGAGATCATGTGGTTCAGGAAAGGTGACATTTGAAGAATGCCCTGGCTTTAAGGAGAGGGAACCGAGTACTACATCGTCCTTCAAAAGTACTACCTCAGACATGGACGTGCTTGCTAGATCAATCATAAGTCCTAGAGTTGGAGAAAGGGGTAATCAGTTGACAAGATCAGATAGCTTGCTTGACCAAAAACCCCACTTATCATTGCCTGGGCCAGGGAAACAAAGACACCAGGCTGCAGTGACGTTGCAGAAAGTCTATAAAAGCTTCAGAACCAGGAGGCAGTTGGCTGATTGTGCTGTTGTTGTCGAGCAGAGATGGTTGGTATCAGTCTACGTGTGCAATTCCTTTTGTATATATTTCATGGAGTGAAATCTGTCTCACTTTGTTTACATTTTTTTTCTCAAAAGGTTTCTCTTGTATTTTTATTTTTTTTGTTGTGGTATATCTCCTTTTTCACTGAACTTAATGTTCTTGCAATGTGTTTTGTAGGTGGAAGTTGTTGGATTTTGCAGAGCTCAAGAGAAGCTCCATATCTTTTTTTGATATTGAGAAACCTGAGAGTGCAATTTCACGTTGGTCAAGAGCAAGAATGAGAGCTGCCAAAGTAAGTTCTAAAGAAATTGATGTATCTATACAGATAACATTTTGTTCTACTGCATTTCTGAGTGCCAGGATTTTTTATCCTTTGCAGGTAGGAAAAGGATTGTCAAAGGATGCGAAGGCTCGGAAACTTGCTTTACAGCATTGGCTTGAGGCAGTAAGATCAAGTCTTGAAATAGAAACTTGAAACGAAGTTGCTAGCTTACTTTGTCTCGTATTGATCTTATTCTTATTTCTAATAGATTGATCCACGGCATCGTTATGGACATAATCTTCAATTTTATTATGTCACTTGGCTTCACTGTCAGAGTAAACAGCCTTTCTTCTATTGGTAAGTTCTTTTGAAATTGAAGACTTGCATATGACAAAGTCATCTCTGCTTCAGGATAAACATTATTCACAGTTGATACCAATCCTCTTAAACCTGCAGGCTCGATATTGGAGATGGGAAAGAAGTCAACCTTGATAGATGTCTTAGATCAAAGCTTCAACAACAATGCATAAAATATCTTGGTCCTGTAAGTATTAACTTTTATAGTCATGAGAAGACTTGCAAAATCTGGTGGTTAGAATAGTTACTGCAGTTTTCTGCTTCAATTTGAATACAGTCCATAGCCTGGAACTTGAAATGGAACGTCCATGTTTTATAAATTCTGCTAAAGTCTATCATCTTTTTTCCTTCTTTCGCTTACCCTGCTGTTAAAATCTACTTACAAGTATTGTCCATCCATCTTTCAGATTGAAAGAGAGTCTTTTGAAGTAACTGTGGACAACGGGAAATTTTTATACAAAGAAAGTGGGAAACTTCTCTGTACAACAGAAGGACCCAAGGATGCCAAATGGATTTTTGTTCTCAGCACATCGAAGACCTTCTATGTTGGTCTCAAGATCAAGGGCACATTTCAACATTCGAGTTTCTTGGCCGGTGGAGCCACTCTATCTGCTGGAAGATTGGTTGTGGAAGATGGTGTTCTAAAGGTAGATAGGAACTGTCTGGTGTTTTAAAAATAGCTTCACAAACTTCCTTTTTTTCTCTCTGTCAATGTTACCTTGTTTATATATTTACAAAGTTCTACCATTTTGACAGGCAGTTTGGCCTCACAGTGGCCATTATCTCCCAACCGAAGAAAACTTCCAGGCATTCATGTCTTTCCTCAGGGAACACAACGTGGATCTAACTGATGTAAAGGTACGAAACTGTTAAGTTTGCTTTCAGTAACTTCAATGAAGTTAGCATCTGCTAGAAACCCAAGAAAAAAAGGTTCCTCAACAGCACACTATCAGCTGGCAGCATCCAAATTAGTAACATTTTCCATGAAATAGGGTCGTTATGAACATGGAGGTCTCCATCAATTGATATTGGTAACAAATTCATCTTTGTAGGAAGCCGAAAGGCTCATGCCGTTCTTTTATGTGGGAACTGTATGCACCAGGGTTCATAGCACAGATCAGTTATTTGTTTTCGAGCTGTCATTTATGCATTTTCAGAAATATAGACGTGAATCATTGATGCACTTCTCATATTCTCTTATGTATTCAGGAAAGCCCAATTGATGAAGAAGACGAATCCATTATCAAAAAGGACATTCATGGTAGTCTCCGAGACCAACAAGATGCAGATTTACTCCAAGTCAACGGAGCAACAAATGTTAAGATCTTGGCTCCAGAGGAATCAGATTCAAGGAAACGAGATTCTAATGTGGCAGAAAATGCTAATCTGCACGCATCAAAATTGTCACGTGGATTACAATTAAAAATTACTAAACTTGAAATACCAACAAGAGGAGATGTGATTGACACTTTCAAAACAGATGAACTTGGACTAAGCTGCCAGGCAGAAGATCCTGATTCTCCTGGAGAAGATGGTTATGAAACGGCAGAAGATTCATTTTTGACAGAGGAAGACTTCATGATTACTAAACTTAATTTGTTTGACGAAGATGATGAAGAAGAAGAAGACGAGGAGCCTATCCCCAAAGAAAAAATCCTGAAGAGGATAGATTCTCATAAAGGAATGAAATCGTATCAATTGGCGGAGCACTTGTCCTCTAAATGGACCACTGGTGCTGGGCCACGGATAGGATGCATGAGGGATTATCCATCGGAGCTTCAATTCCGGGTTTTAGAGCAAGCAAACCTGTCACCAAGAACAAGAAGTGATAATCCATCACCACGGACCTCATCTCGGTTTAGCCCGAAGGTTTCATCACCAGTGGTTTTGACGCAAGCCTCATTGTGTAAAGAAATATCATCCAGAAGTCCCCTTGCCCCAGACCAATTGTTGTTTTCACAAACAGCAAACCCTTAGACTCTGTTAGATCAAGAATTTTTCTTTTGCTGATTTATTAGTAGTGATACAGGGCATTCTTTGTATTTTTTTATAGCAAAGTTCTCTATACCTCATTTTTGTGGAGATCCAAAAATGGAATGAAAAAGGAAAGGGCCGTGCCAGGTTCTTAGCTGTCCTTATATTCATGACAATGGGTTTCTTTCATTGTTAAAGTTCCTTCGATCTTTCATTGTTAAAGTTCCTTCGATCTTTCATTCTTAAAGTTCCTTCGATTTCTTGCAATCAGTTTGTGTGCTTTGAGAACTTTGAACATGCCAGGAATTTGGATGGCAGAATGTTTTTGGCAACCTGCATGATTTCTGGTCCATAATATAGTCCTCCGAAACCAGTTGAGCAACACTTCACCACATTTCTTGGCATCATTTGCAGCATCTAAAATACCTTTAACTAGTTATGATGAAATAGTTAAAGTGAGGACAGGTGAGATCTTACGAGAGAATGTGAAGTCACTCCAAGTCTTCCTGATATGAACATCCAAAGTCTAAACAATTAAGAGATTAAGCTTTAATTTATGTTTTTTGCTTTTAATTTATATAAACTTTTAGTTGAGGCTTATTAATTAGGTTTTATTTGTTGGGTTTGATTTAATTATTGTTGGGTATTTTATTTAATGGGCCATAAGACTAATCACTTATTCTAGTTAGGGTTTCAGTATTAATATCCTACTTTTCTAAATGTTAAGCAATTTTTGATGATTAATAAAAAATTGCATACTTTACATATCTCCAGTCCCCTTTCTTCTCTTCTTCAACTTCTTTCTCTCTTTAAAAGCTTATTTCTTTTCTTGCTTTAATCTTATTGTTTGTTGTCCCGCGTCAAATTTGATATCACAGCATGACCTTTAATTGTTCTTACAATTAAACGATCTATATATTTATGCTAAACTCTAGATCCAATTTGATCTAAAAAAAATTTGTTCATTGTTCACAGTTTTAAAAAAAAACACCTATTGTTTTGATTATGAAAAAAAAAAAAAACAATTGTGCATTGTTCATTGTTCACTGTTCATCCTCAAAATGCAACAATATGGAAATGCTGATCAGTTTGCCTTCAACGCCGATCACAGCCAATACCACCACATCAATCCATAGGTACACGCTGTCAACTACCCGCAGCAACAACAGGTCGCTCACACACACAAGCAGCAGTAGATCTTCGTCAGTGGCAGCGCACCTACCAGTTTCATCTTCTCCCTACCATCGACAGATTAGACATCCAGCCACCACCACCACTCCATGCCATAAGAAGCCCATAGAGCCACACCGAGTTGCTGTCTCCACAGTTTTGCAGCGCCGCCACAATATAGTTGTCTTCAGCAACCCGAAACAACGTTACAAACCATTTGCCGAGCCACCACTAAATTGCACCCTCCAGCAGTAGCACTAGCCGCAATCACTACAACTTGTCTTTCAGCCCTGACGATGCCTAAATAGTTGTATCAACAGATCAGCAGTCATGCCTCGTCGCCACCAACAGTAAGAAGAAAACTCAGCGAAGAGGATTGAAGCATATAAGACATTGGAGGCGAAATTAATTAACACGTCATCTAACATGCCAACTCTTTGTATCCATGTCATCCACCACGTCAACAGTCCAGAGCCACATCAGTTCGGTAAGCTACGCCACTGGCTGCCACGTCAGCAAGATCACCATGTCATCGCCTATTGCCACATCAGTTGCCATATAATCTGAGGTCCATCCGTAATCAATTCCACAACCAAATCTTGGTAGGTAAATAACTCTACTTTTTGGTTTGTTGATTTTACCTTTTTTGTATTGCACTTGGTATTCAAAATTATCATTAATATTACTTTTGTGCCAAAAAAAGAAAAATCTCACCTAGCATTTTTAATTATTAATTTTTGTTCATCAACATCTTTCATTAGTGGTAGCTAATATCTTATTCTATTTGATAATTATGAGTTCTTTCTTGTGACATCGTATTTAATTAATCATTTACACTTAAGAATCTAGTATTACATGCTTACAATTTTATTAGTGAAATTTGTTCTTGATTAATCTCCACATTTTAGAGGAAAAAAAGAAAAAAAATTAGCTTTGTTTTTGTATTGTGATTTTAAATGTAAGAACCATTTGTGATCTCAATTCCATATATAAGTTAGTATTGCATGCATTTGTGTCATGATTATCTAATGTCCAAGCTTAAGTTTGCACTTACTGTAGACTCAACCTTTAGTGATACTCTTACGAACATTTAGAGGGAACTGCAAACTTAGGTGATCAACATGTTTAAGAAAATTGAGCCCTAAGAGAGTTTTTGAATAAGACACTTAAAGATTAATAAATATCATAAAAAAAATCAGTATGGACAAGTTTACTTCGAGTGCCACCAGTATGACTATCATTTAGGTTACTCTAAACACAATGACTTTGATGAGCGAGTCTTGAGCCATAACAAAATAAAAGCCCCCACTTTTGACGGTCGTTATGACCCTTGGATGTTTGATATGTGGATTTGTGATATGGATAGATTCTTTGAATGACATAACTTGTCTGATAATATAAAAGTTAGACTGATAAGATGAAACTCATTGATGAAGCCAAAATTTATTGGAGAGATGTTGAGGATTGTTTAGAGATGAGAGGTAAACTTCGTATAATTGATTGGATCAAAATAAAACAGAAACTTCAGGAGAAGTACCTATCCCAATCTTATAGGAATAAACCCTTAGACCAACGGAACAATCTAAGACAAGAAAATAAGTCTATCAATGAGTCTATAATGTAGTTTAACGATTATATGATTAGATGTGCCATAAGAGAGAATAAAGCCATGACTTTGCATAGATTTTGTAAAGGCTTAAATGATAATTTTAGAAGAGAAGTTGTATTTCAATGTGTATCTACCCATAACCAAGCTTATACTTTAGTTTAAAATTACAAGTTGGTCATGAAGAATCAGTGGATGAATCATTAGGGCTCTTATAGTATCCCTACTAGGTCCCAATTCAGAAGTAGTGATTTTTTGTTAGGTGCTCCACTCCATAAACCTAATCCTAGTAGTGCCCAACTTTGTAAGAAAGATAAAGATAAATGAGTTGTCAATGATGTGTCTAAGGTGAGTTTAAAGGATAAATATACTAATTGTTTAGGTTTTGGTCATGTTTCTTTAAATTGCATCTCTAAACCCTTAGTCATAAAAAACATAAGAATATAGATAAAGAGGAATATTGTAGTGTTGAAGTGTCTGAGCCTAATCTTGAGGATTTTAGTGATCTAGATGACAAGGATATGCAAGAAGAAGGACCTAACACAATGAGTCCACGTTAGCTTGAAAATGAGGTTAAGAAAAAGTCTGTTATGTCTATTTTAATGGTAGAGGAAGTTTTAGAGAACTCTTCAGTTGAATCGCCTATAGAGATAAATATGGTCTTAAAAGAGTCTCATGATGTTAGTCCTTCTAAATTACTTGATTCCTCACCCCACATGCTTGGTGTCCAGCACAACATAAGTTTAGAGCAACATGTTAAGCTTCCTGACGCTTCCTGACCCCTTACCTCATGTATGTGATGAGGAAGATGAAGATAATCCTAGTTTACTTGATTGTATCCATACCATATCTACTCAGATTTCAAATAATGTTTGTCTCATTGCACACCCTCAATCATTTAGTGTTCATAGTTATAAACCTGAGAAACCTATAGAACACCTTCCCATATCTCATCACGATTGGATGTTTAAGTCAGCTGAGTCGTTACTATGTAGAGTTCATAATTTACATATTGTGATCATGAAATAAATTCAATCAAGTAATGAATAATACAAATTTTGAGCTAATTTACTTAATTATCATGATGCATTTAATGTTGGAGATTATTTCATGATACAGATTAGACCTGGATGGTGTCCTTTGAAAACCGATCATAAATTGCAAGTAGTGAGAGACTATTCAAAGTGTTGCAAATGATTGAATCAAATAATTATGTCATTAAATTACCATTAAACTTTGATAGTAGCTTTATTTTTAACATGAAAGACCTCATTATTTATAAATAAATTACCATTAAACTTTGATATTAGCTTTATTTTTAACATGAAAAACCTCATTATTTATAAAATACAATCTATCCTTGATGCTTCTTTTGATAACCCTGTCTCATTATCCATATCTTTGGCACAAAAGGAACAAATTAATGCTACTTTAAATGCACAAGTTATTTTTACCAGGAATGATGAACTTCAGCAAATCTCAGTATATGGGCTTGACGACCAGATTCATACTATACTTGAATTGTTAGAAAGACATTACAACAACTTGATCTTTATCTTTGAAAGCATTATCGGAGCTACCTTGATCTATACTCGATGGAGTCTAGTTCTTCCAACCTCGGAAGAATTGATAGAAACACCAAACCCAAAATATTATTTATGCACGTGTATAACCATAAACGATGGAGGATAGTCCGAACAATTGAGAGATTGGGCTTTAACTTATGTTTTTTTTTTTTAATTTATATGAACTTTTAGTTGAGACTTATTAATTAAGCTTTATTTATTGGATTTAATTTAATTATTATTGGGTATTTTATTTAAGAGACCATAAATCCAATCACTTGTTCTAGTTAGAGTTTTAGTATTAATACCCTATTTTTCTAAATATTGAACAATTTTTAATAATTAATAAAAATATTACAGACTTTGTATATCTATAATCTTCTTTCTTATCTTCTCCAACTTTTTTTTTTAATTTAAACACTTATTTTTTTCTTGTTTTAATTTTATTTTTTGTTGTCCCGCGTCACTTCCACCTTTACTAGCCAAAATATCTTTTTCAGAACACAAACAAGTACCTCCAAAATAGCTTCTTTCAGAACACAAACAAGTACCTCGCGGCCGCCAACCTAAAGCCTGAACCTGGGAGTCTAGAGAACAGCCCTTTCAAGCAAAAGCACTGCATAGAATTTCTTCCGTCACCAGGTTCCGCTAGATAGGTGTATCGCTACCATGAAAACCTGCTCGCCCCTCGTAGTTCAAGTAGATTGCATCACTTACAGCATTCCCTGCGTTTCTTGGTGCAAGTCTCATTTAGTTTACATTTTTATTTTTTATTCTATCTCACTTTACATTTTTAAGCTGGTTTTCTCATGCGCAGAAGATCCAAGTCAAAGTCCGTGAGAGCAAAGAATTTTCACACGATTCAGAAGATGACATTTTGCTATCGAGGAAGAGACTGATACAATGATACAAAGTGATGCTAGCTGCATGTTATAAATTGCAACAATAACTATTACGTTGCAAAATAACAGATATGTGAAGTACAATCTCTCTGTGAACTCCCGGGAAAAATCAAAATTCAGCTAGATAAAAGGAAATATGATATATTCAGCATAAAAGAGATTCCATATAAACCGATAGAACCCTGAGATTGCCTCCTGCAAATGGAAATAAGAATATAATCAGGACATCTGAAAAAAATTCTCAGTATTTGTATTTGGTGAAATCATATCCAACTGGTGGCGTGTGTTTCACTGTAATAGCCTAATTGAGAATCACGTCAAATTTCAAACCACCTGCAAGTTTTCTAGAAGCTGCACTGAATTCACTGTACAAGCATGATTGGGTTGGCTTATCATAATTAAAAACAAGTGTCAAACGGCTAACATTGCAAAATTTCATCAATCAAGCTCGACTTATTTTCTCAAAATGTCTGCCAATGCAGCAGTCTCTGGACATTGTATGCAGACATGATCAATTCACTATGTTCTGTGAGTAACAAGTAATTAACGCAAGACAACAGAGGCCAACAGAACAGTGAATAGAAGGAAAAATTTTAGTATCAGTGTCTGCAACGATTGTAAGAATCTATGTTCCTTTTGTTTTGTCCAACAGGAAGCGTGCTTCCCTTTGATACATTTCCCATTAAACGTTAAAGTTTAAAACCAGCATATTAGATTAAAAAACAGAGGAAGATTTTCTGTTTTAAAAATGAATCATACGAAGTACCCTCAGAGCAAGAAGAGAACTCGTTTACTTTTCTGGAAATATGATTCGTGTATCTAGAAGGATATTTTCAATGTACATATTTCAGTGCCCATTGAATTGAGAAAATAGAAAAGGCAAAAATTTATATCAGTGAAATTGTAGTTCTAAGTTGAATTAAATTCATTGCCTAAAGGCAGAACCTAACCCCTCTTTGATTTTGAGTCAAAATGATTGTTGAATAATCTCATATATATATATATATATATGAAATCCTCCATCCAAATTGCAACTATAGCTGAAGATTCAAGACCCTGTTATATACAACGCGAAACTAGGCATTACCTTTGTGTAATTTGCTTGTTCCAAGACCCACATCTGAGACAGGTACAAAAAGGATGCATGTAAGATGAAAAAACATAAGTAAACATTTTACACGATCCCAAAAATAACAGCAACCAGCGGAAAAGATCTATCATAAAGAACAAAGCACTTGAAACTAAATGAATTGTGATATCCATGCAACTCTTCAGGTCTGTATGATTGGTAGGTATATTGACAATATTGATTCAAAATATATACAGGTAACATTCACAATTATGATTGAAATTCATCACTTGTACAAAAAATGTTTGGATCAACAATCAGAATTCCTCATTGCTTATCATATTTAAAAGTTGTTCTTGATGTTTAAGAAATCATATGTTTGTTGTTGTTTTAGTTTTAGTAGGGGCTTCCATCCAGATCAACCTGGTCCAAGATAAGGATCAAGCCGATCTCCATCCCACATTGAGGAAAAAATCAATACACCAGTTTTGCAAATAGTGAAACTTTAGCAAAAACAAGTACACTCATATGCTGATTTCTGTGTTTTGATTCCCTGATCTATTGTGCACATGGAAACCCAGTAGGGATTATGGTCAGTGGCAAGAGTCTGAAGGTCAGTAATATCATCAAAGACCACCCATTAACCATGAGGAACTTGCTCATGCTCCAAGATCAACAAGCTGATGGTGAGAACGTTTTGAAGGCAAGTTTGGCTTATTCCAATTTCACATCCATCTCACAGGCCCATCTAATCACTACTTCAAGAGGATAAAAAGCTGGATGAGAAGTCCTTCCTAGATGGAACCAGTAACCTCTCCATGGAAAGGCACATGATGATGCCAAAGTCAATTTTTTTTAAAGAAACCATTAAAAATACCAAAATTTAACAATGAGATCCCATGGAAAGAGCAGAAGCACAAATCAATGTCCTCATAGGAATAAGCAAATTAATGAGAGCTGCAAGAAGGAATTGATATTTATCTTGCTGAATAAATAAATAAACTAGCAGAATAAATCAAATGAACCATAACAACTAAGAACACATACTAAAAGTCACATCCTAGTCACAGTGCTAATCAATATGGTTACTAATACCATGAAACACACCTGGAAAACCAAGCTCAGTGCAAGGATTGTATGTGCGGGTATCATTAGGCTACGACTGAAATCCTGTAAAAGATGCAAGTGGAGGGGTGAAGTTTGCCTTCATGGAAGAAAACTCGAGGAGTTAGCTGGACCTTCAACTAATACTATGAGTACCGCATAAGCACAGGAACAGCTTCAAGGGAAACTTGTACCTGAGGCATGTAAATAGCTGCTAGTACAGCTCCAACATAATTCACCAGTAAAAGCCCAGAACCAAGAAATGCAATGTTTCTAACTCCAAGTTTAGTTGCTAAAGTTGATATGTTATATCTGCAGTGACAGTATTCAATGAGATATGAGATCACATGTACATGTTTAAATTAAAACATACAGGTGTTTGGCCTCTAACAAAATAGCAGGGTTGTTTTGGATGTGGGAGAAAATGAAGTGAAAAAAACATTGAGGGAGCAACATAAAATAAAATAAGGTTTAAGAGGAACTTTTTACTACACAGGAAGTAGGCATACCACAAACATGAGGAAAATGCACTATTAATCACCTTGAGTGAGTAAATTTCTAGAACTTACTTGCGATCCCCCTCCACATCTGGAAGATCTTTTGTTATGGCAATAACCAGTGCAAACAATGTGACAAAGGTTGTAATGAATGCCACGGGTGAGCTGCAAGTAGAAATAGAAGTGAGAACATGAGAAAACTCATCAAAGTCTAGAGAATGGGCACATGCGAATTACCAAATTTGATAGATTTTCTGAAGTGTTAAAGCAGATGCTTGCTTTTACACACTCTGTCTAAATATAATTTCTTTTGTTTAACAGTACAGCCAATATCTGACTTTCAGGAGAGGTTAAAAGTTGCAACCTCTACAGACTCAGATGTTATAGTGCACATCAAGCCAGGGAGAAATTGCAGCTTAAGGGTTTATAACAGAAGAACTGCCTCGCTGTCTTCCGGCATGCCAATCGATCAATTATTAATCCATTAACTAGTAATGGAGAAATTTGAAATGGTTTCACCCTTCAACAAGATTGCATGAAGGGCTGGTCCAAGGGCTTGAACCAGCACCCTTGTGGTTGCAAGCCAAAGACCTTTACTAATGCACTGAGCAATGGTGCCCATGTGAGTTGATCAATGCATTAAAGAAATAACTCACACAAACATGTGTTGAAAACACTAAAACCAACTGAATAACCTATTTTATTTATTTATTTATTTATTCTGTCAAAGATCTATCCAACCGTGTATTGATTGCATGTCCTCAGGAAGCCTGAATCATCACCGTAACTCCAATTGTTTGATTGTTGGAATCTAACACGACATACAGATACCATCATAACTCCAATTGTTTGATTGTTGGAGTCTAACAAGACATACAGATACTATAGAAGAATTCATATTTGGTAGGAATGCATAAGTTTGTAGCATTTTATCTCAACCAAAATATGAAACAATATATGATTAAGGTAAAGTACCTCCATTCAAAAGGAAGTCCGAGGGCAGCTCTGGTGGCATGGTACACGCCAAAATTGAGAAGAAAACCTCTTACCTGTGATATTGTATTCTATCAAGGTTTCATCCAACTGCTACATTTTTTGAGAGGCACTCATGTCATTATGTTTTTCTAATTTACAAATAAAAAATATGCATCGATATTTTAATAATTGTACAGTTTTTAAGAGGGTGATGTTGGAGTAGCATCTGAACACGTCTTTTCTATCTTAAAAACGTTTCTGACACCATGCTAATGTCAACTATAAGTGAGCCAATACAATGATCATTTGCTTCCCTGACTTATATAATAAGTTACTTCTTTTTTATCAACTGGAGGAATTATTTCATTTTCTCAGGGCTTAACCCACTTTCATGATCATATAGGAGCATAGAGCAAAGATCACCATCTTGTCCCTTGTTATCAATTTTGTGGTATAAGTTATGATCAGATTTAGATGGTTTTTTGTTTTTCCAAACTCATTCAATCTTCTGTTCTCACCAAATTCGAAATACCCATGGCGAGGATGACAAACACAGCACAAGTTTAATTGTTGAAAAAGAAAAGGAGGAAAAACAGGAAGTCATACCGTGGCAATTATAAGAAATGCTATGACTGGAAATCTCTTGAATCGAAGTGGGGGAACTGAATAGATGGTGCCTAAGAAAAGGCCAAGACAGTAAAGAGAAGTGATGAATGGACCAAAGTTTAGTCCTACAATCAGGACCCCAGCTACTGCAAAAAATATCACCAACAACCATGCAGATTGAACTGAAAGATCTCCTGCAGCTATGGGTAAATAAGGTTTGTTAACTCTGCAAAATAAAGAGAGAGGCGTCAATTAAAAAAAATCACATTCATACATTTCTAGACGTTGTTAGACATTTCACACAAAGAATTTTGGATCCAGGTATGCAGAATTTATAAGAAAATTGTTTAAAATTGAAGGAAAAATCCTTGCATATACCATATAAGACTGTTAAAATGGCCTAGAAAAGAGAACATGGACAGATTTTTTAGTCAAGTCCATCTAGCACTATTCTCTTTGTTTTCTCGGACAATGAAATGCCTTTCAAGATATTCACTAATCATTAAATTACATGGCTGAAACTAATATTTCTTTGCTGGGCAAACTCGAACAGGGCCTTGCTTGTTCTAGGTCTCAAGCCACAAAAATGTGTATTGAAATCCATTGATCAACATTAAGGTTTCAGATTATTTCCACAACCAAGATAAAATAGCCCTTAAAGAAAATAAGTAGTCAAAAGTGACGCATACTTGTCTATTCCAATATCATAGATTTGATTGATGCCGACTATATAACCATTCCCACATATTAGAGCGAAAAGACCAGAGAATGCCTTTAACACCAGAGACCACTTAATCAGATTTGTGTTCTCGATCAATGCTCTTGCCACCAAAGCGCTATCAACAAATAAAATGATGACAATGAATCAGTTATGGTACTGACATGAGTGCAGACAAGTACAAATTTATTAAGGTGGAAAAGCATATACACAAAATACACTTACGTCGAACCTAGAGCTGTGCCGCGTATGGTGTGAGGCCTTAAAAATCTCCAACATGCATCTTTGAAATCTGAGATTTTGTTTAATATTGGATCAGATCCAGCTGCTCCAGCTTGACTGCAGGCCTGGTAGAATCCGGTTTCACATTAATGCTTTATAGGTAGAATCATGTGTCTGATGAAGTTAACCAAACTTGTATACGACCATGTAGATATAACCAAATTAACTCCCAGGACATGTGATGAGAAAGTAGTAAACACCAGCCAGTGACTTGAAGAAAGTAACCAACGACACCCATGGAAAACAATAAGACCCTTATCCTCCATATAGCAATTTGATAAGCAAATTGATGTCCTGGCTCAAACTTTACTCAGCCTAAACCCTTTCATTTCTTCTAAAAGTTTTGGATTCATTTCGGCCTTTTCAATTAAACTGAATGAGTTCAATTTGCACATTCATTTGTATATATGTGTGCATTAGCCATTCCAAGACTAACTGGCTGTTAAGTAAGCCTTTTCAATATAGATGTCCAGAACAAAATTTCAACTACAAGTACAATGTATGGAAACCAATCCACCGCAGCCATAACCACATAACTAACACTTGCTTAGCTTATGATGCAAATTTAAAAGGACTAAAAACCCAGTGTCTAATAAAAAGAATTTCGTATAGTTTTTATTTCTGTCTATCTTTTTCATCGACGAAATTTAGACATCCTCTATTTCAGGGTGCCATAACTCCAGCTGCCTGGTTGTTCTGTGAACAAAAAAGGTCGGAACAAGTAACCGTGTCGCTTGTGTTGGTCAAATACGAGAGGACTCGACTTGACACAAGACAAACAACTATAACTAATAACAGCAAGCAACTAGAATCAGTAAAGATAATGACTTTTTTTTCAATTTATTCAAACCGCAAATCGTATAAACATCAATCATAAAAACATTCTCATTATTTGCATAAGTGAAAACTATGGGGAAATAAATCATACCCAGATGGGATTCCGTCTGTAATGTCTGTTTGGTGCTAGTTTTGAGCTTCTTTTGAGACTGTAAATTTCAGTGCTTGAAGGAAAAGGTTTTGAGCTTTTGAAGAATAAATCAAATGATTTGCTTGTGGGCTTAATGGGTATCTTTGGTTGATGAGAAGAGGTGTTGCGGTGAGTGTTTAAGGCAGAAATTCCAAGAGAAGATGGAGGAGAAAATGACAGCTCCATTGAGGAGCAGAGAGAGGGAGGGTGGTGGGTGGTAAATAACAGACAATAGCAGCAGGGAGTGATTTGATTTTTGATTTGTTTGTTTTTATATCTTGAGAGTGTTGCCCTTTCGCCCCTATATTTCTCTTCTTTGCAACCAAGTACACAATCTTATCATCATATAAAGCATTCTTTTTTTTTTTTGATGAATTAATTAATTATTTAACAAAACACCAAAGGAAGATGTTTTTACTTAACACCATCTCAAGAAGCTCCATTAATATTTTAGTAGTGGTTTTTTTTTAAAAAAAATTATTTTATTTTTTAATATTTATTTTGCTAATAATTGATTTTTATGATTTTTTATTTGATTTTTATAAAATTATTTTAGTTTTATGATTTCAATCGTGAACTTGGTGGTATAAATTGGTTGAGTTATTTTTTTTGTTTTTATTTAATTTTATTATTCAATATTTTATTAATTAAAAATCATGATTTATTTTGTTTCACTTTCCATGAGGTTATTTTAGTTTCATGAATCAATTTATAGGTTTGGTGGGACCCAAGTAATTGTTTTAGTTTTTTTTAAAATTAATTTTTCTAAAATTTTATCCTTTAATATTAGATCAATTAGAAATTATAATTTATTATTTATTTCATTTTATTTTATATGAAATTATCTCAATCTTATAATTCGGGTCATGGGTTCGGTAGTTAACTTTAGTTGACTTTGGTATTTTTTTCTCTTTTTTTATGTATTTTTTTTCTCAATTTTATTATTCATTATTGATTAGAAAATAAGTTTCATAATTTATTTTGATTTGTTTTTTATAGAGTTATCTTGGTCTTATGATCCATGTTGTGAGTTTAGTATGTTAATGCAGGTTGACTCGGGTTTTATAAGAATATCTTGGTCTTACAATCCAACTTGTGAATTTAGTAGGTTAATCCAGGTTGACTCAAATAATTTTTTTAAAATTTTTTATTTTTTAAAATTTTATTTTTTAATATTGGTCTGATTAAAAATTAAGTTTCATAATTTGTTTCAATTTATTTTATATAGAGATTATCATGCTCTCAACATCAGGGTTGCAGATTTGACAAGTTAACCGATGTTGATTCAATATGTTATTATATTGATTTTTTAAAAAAATTATTTTAATTTTTTTAGTCAAATTATATTTTTACCAGTTGTTTGAGTTATCTTTCAACTTATTAAGTTGATTATATTATATTGAATTAACCGCCACTTGATTATTCTTGTTAAAAAAAAATAATAGCAATGCTTGAATAAGATTTTTTTTATATTTGTAAAAAATTAATTTGGCACGCAACATGATATGATTAGATAATCTAAAATGCTATCATATCATATAAAAGTACAAGTATAGATGAATTATTCTTAAGAAGTTGTTAAAACAATGGACTCTTATACCCCTTTTAGAGTCACAATGAAACCTATTTTTCATCAAAATTTTAAAAATTATATTTTTTAAAAAATTATATTTTTTTTAGTATTTTTAATTTTTTTTGATATAATGATGTAAAAATAATTTTTTAAAAATAAAAAAAATATTATTTTAATGTATTTTCAAGTAAAAAACTAATGTCTTATCTAATACTTGAAGTGAAGATTATAGCTCATATTTTAACCCAAAAATCTAATTTACTTTGTTTTTAACATAATAGATAAACATTTTGTTTTGAAAATCATCATCATTATTTATTTAAATACTATTTTATTTTGAACAAAATCCACATTTTTTTAGGCTAATTAGCATATTATCTTGGTAATGAACTAACTTTAAGTAATTGCTTCAAATTAATTTAGGTTTGGATTTTTTAAAACAAATTAATGTTAAAAATTTTAGTTTTTTGATTTATTTTTCTATTTAATATCAAGTTGGTACTCATTTATGTTTGCAATGACGTATAAATGTATCATAAATTATTCAATGTATATCTTCAATTTGGTTGCAACATCTTTAACAACAACATAGTTCATAATACTTAGAGTTTAAGTTTGAAATAAAATATTTAATATGGTTTGTGAATTAAAATTGAAAAATAAAACTAACAATGCATCACCTATATAGTTCATGATACCTAGAACATTAAAAACCTCTAACTTAATACAAAGCAAATTGAATAAATTAGAAACAAGTAAGAAAACCATTAGCTATTAAATTAGCCTTATAACAAACAAATGTTTTTAACATAAAGCAAATTAGAAACAATGTTTTTTGTTCTTCCTCGTATACCCAAAACAAATATACATATTTTGGATTATCTATCAATTAATCATAACCTCCACTAGCTCTTCATATGTCAAGTTCATTTTTTTTGTCAAGTTCATTTTTTCAAGTTCTACAATAATATGAACTTTAACACTAACATCATTATCCATTTTTCTTGTAGTCATTCTGGTATTTTTATTTGATGACTAAATGTCTATTTTGAGTGTTTTAGCCAACTTACTAATGTCAAAAACTTATATAAACCTTTTTTTAATTTTGATTAGAAAATTCAAAAATTAATAAACCATTAGTTTTTAATAGCTTATGATATGTGAGGTACAATATTTAATGGAGTAGGTGGTAACATAACATAGAATTTGTTATAAATAATGTCATTTTTAGCTACATATTCATCATTTTTCAATGCATCTCCAAATGATGCAGTTGTTTTTCCACTTACATGATTTTTTTTATATATAAATTGCATCCAAATGCCTACACAAAAGAAATATTTTACCAAGTAGGGTAATTCTTGTTAATACATTTATATAATCAAATAAAATATATTAGTTTGGATGTAATATGTATAAAAACATGTGGCTTATACATGCACATATTTATCAAGCATGTTTAATAAGAAGAATGATGATAAATTGAACTTTATTTTTTTATTTATTTTCTTTCAGACACTTGTTTCTCTTTCTCTCTCTCATTCTCACCTGAAATTAAGCATTCTCGTCTCTTTTCATCATAAGGCATGTTGTCTTTTCTTTTTCTTTTTCTGTTTGGGTTTATTAACAATGTCTTTTCTTTATTTTTTTTATTTTTTTCTGTTCTACAATAATATGAACTTTAACACTAGCATCATTATCTATTTTTCTTGTAGTCATTCTGATATTTTTATTTGATGACTCAATATTTATTTTGAGTGTTTTAACTAATTTACTAATGTCAAAAACTTATGTAAACCTCTTTTTAATTTTGATTAGAAAATTCAAAAATTAATAAACCATTAGTTTTTAATAGCTTATGATATGTGAGGTACAATATTTAATGGAGTAGGTGGTAACATAACATAGAATTTGTTATAAATAATGTCATTTTTAGCTACATATTCATCATTTTTCAATGCATCTCCAAATGATGCAGTTGTTTTTCCACTTACATGATTTTTTTTATATATAAATTGCATCCAAATGCCTACACAAAAGAAATATTTTACCAAGTAGGGTAATTCTTGTTAATACATTTATATAATCAAATAAAATATATTAGTTTGGATGTAATATGTATAAAAACATGTGGCTTATACATGCACATATTTATCAAGCATGTTTAATAAGAAGAATGATGATAAATTGAACTTTTTTTTTTTCTTTCAGACTCTTGTTTCTTTTTCTCTCTCTCATTCTCACCTGAAATTAAGCATTCTCGTCTCTTTTCATCTTAAGGCATGTTGTCTTTTCTTTTTGTTTTTCTGTTTGGGTTTATTAACAATGTCTTTTATTTATTTTATTTATTTTTTTCTTTTTTTTAATTAAGAGCCAAAATAAAGCACACCATTAAAATAATAATTTTTCTTTCTTTTTTTTCTTCATTTTTTTGCATTATTTCTTTGTCATTTTTTTTCCAATTTTTTGTTTCTAATAATTTTATGAATTAATAAATGACATGAATTTTAGTTGTTATTAAAATAATTTTTGCATTATTTTGTTGAGTTTTATTTTTTATTTTTGAAATTTTTAGTTCAATTTTAATTAAATGTGTAGGATTAATTTTAATTATTAATTTGTATTTATTCCATTTAGAATATTTTTTTTTCAAATTTAGGATTAAAAATATTATCACTTAGAAATAATTATGTTGAATTTTAGTTATTGTAATAATTTTTGCATTATTTTGTTGCATTTTAGTTTTTTTAACAATTTTGTTGTTCAATTTCAATTAAATGTGTAGGATTAGTTTTAATTATTATTTTGAATTTATTCCATTTAGCATAATTTTTTTAAATTTAGGATTAAAAATATTATTACTTAGAAATAATTGTGTTGAATTTTAGTTGTTATTGTAATAATTTTTGCATTATTTTGTTGAATTTTAGTTATTTTTTAAAATTTTATTGTTCAATTTCAATTAAATATGTATGATTAATTTTAATTTTAATTATTATTTTTATTTTTTTATAAATTTGGAATAATTTTTTGTAAATTTATTATTAGAAATGTTATCATGTATAAAATCAAAATTTTCTATGAAATTAAATTATGCTAAATTGTTAGAAGAATCTGAACAAAATCAATTAGTTTGTGGCATATATGTTGCATATTTGTAAGTTTAAAAATTTTGGGCAGCCGTTTGCATAAGGGAGATGTTGCCGATTTTTTTTTAAAAGAAATTGTTTAATTTTTTTATCCATTAATTTGTGTAGATGCCTAAGTAAAAATCTATTACATATCGTGAGGACATGATCACTGCTAGCTCTTTACTGAGCAATGCTAATGACTATGAGTTATTAGATACAAACCAAGAACATGCAATGGAGGCATAAAGATCGACTCACAACATGGGCTCATTGAGTGTGATGCCACAACGTCAGGGGGGTTTCTTCACAATAGGACCCATTTAACTATAAATACAAGGCCTGATGGAAGAACAACCTTTTAATATAAGTTTATTTTGCTTTCACAACAATATGTTTAATGTTTTTTTTTTAAAATAATGTCATTGAATGAATGCAATTTCAGGTTTATAAGCATTGAGGCTGTGAGAACAATAACATCGGCCTTTAAATCATCAATGAAAATTTTATTATTTTAATGAAGCTAGGTTTTCAGATATCTAGAATGAAAACTGCAAGTTG